CAAATCCTTAGAACATTGTCATATTGCTTTTATGCTTGTTAGGCCTTTATTCCAAATACCGGTCGTGGAATACAAGGTGCCACCGCACATTGCCTCGGTCAAAATTTTGCAAAAATGTTTGAGATTGAATTTGAGAATGAGAAGGGCGAGAAGACCAAAGTTTGGCAGAATTCTTGGGGATACAACACCTGCACGGTAAATTGCTATGCTTATACATACACACATATAAAAGTGCTTTTAAAGCTATAGGTTTACCTGTTACCAATCAAATACAAGCAAAATATCATCAAGAATATATGTAATTGACTCCATGCCATTTGAATGTCTCTTCACTTATCATACAATCTCTCTCTCTCTCTTTCTCTATCTATCTATATAACTTGAATAGTCTTGAATTGATACATGAACTAACATTTTATAAACTGCTTATTTTCAGATTGGAGTTATGGTCATGGTTCATGGAGATGATAAAGGCTTGTTGCTACCACCTAAGGTTGCAGCGATCCAAGTTATTGTAGTTCCGGTACCTTACAAGGATGCAGATACACATGCCATATTTGCAGCCTGCTCATCAGCTGTTCAAACGTTGCAAGCAGCAGGATTCAAGGCTAAGCATGACTTGAGGGAAAATTATTCACCTGGTTGGAAGTATTCTCATTGGGAAATGAAAGGAGTTCCCCTTAGAATTGAAATTGGTCCCAAGGATTTAACAAACAACCAGGTAAAAGAGTAAATTGTCTTGTTAAATTGTCATTGGTGGATACCATCACTCTTATTTTACCATACTAAATATTTTTGTTGTTCGATCTGTTTGTTTTTTTTTTTAATTTTGCGAGTTTCTTTTTGTGGAAGCAAGAATATCATTCATGGCCTTAATCGCTTGGATATTTTAATTTCCATTCAGCAATCGGGCTAGTTGGAGAGATAAGGGCACCTCTTTAAATGATTTAATAATACTTATAAATATATATATAGTTGGGCTATGGCTACTTCTGATGCTAATGATATTTGATAGTTTTTTAGGGGCATCTTTAAGGAATTCAATTAATACTTGCATATAATTTTTTTTTGGCAATAAACTATGTGGTTTACTATCGGTTATACCATTGTCATCCCATCTATGATTAGCTGTGATAAGGTTTTTGAAGTCTGTTAAGACTTATGCTATCCCTTGTGTGCTGTCTTTCTATGAGATTACTTTTTTACTTCACATCAATTCAGTCATATACTTTTAGTTTTTCTCTAGTGTTTGATTGCCTCAAATATCAAGTAGATTTACTGAATGCATCCAGATTTTTTAGACAAAAGTATAATTGTTTTTAGGCATCTTTGACTCGAATAAATAACTAAAATATGGAGTATGATGTTGATGCTTCTGCTTATATTGCTGCAAAACCATGTATGTATGTGTTCAAATCATTCCAGAAGAGCTTATTAACTTCATTGAATTTTTTGGACTTAGGATCAAATTAAGATTTTGTTTTCTTGATTTGCAAATAAATTCCGATGCTTTATGTTATTATGTTATGGATTTTTAGGCGGATTTTTCAATAACTTAATTTGGTTGCTTGTAGATAGAACATTGAATGCCGTTGTCGTATGAACTCCAATGTTCATGATGCGAAGAATCAAATTTATGGCTCAGTCAAGTGACATCACGAAACATCAAAATTAAGTGTGTGTGTGTGTGTGTGTGTATATATATAT